CCCCCCCCCCCAGAAATAGAAAATACAGTGCTTGAGGAAAATGAATTGATGCTGGAACTATGAAGTAACATAAGTTACAAAGGAACCAAGAAGTCACTTCTCTCACTCTCTGTGAAATTGTTTGTATCTTGAAGTAGAGAACTAAGTCATAGAAATTTTGAATCTTGTTTTAACATAAATTTTACTTCAAACAGTCATAAAAGATTTCACTGGATTTTATTAGTGTCCATTGAAAGTATGAGGCCAATTTTGGACTAACAGCACAGTGTAAAAACAAAATTCAGCTAAGAGTTTTAGAGCTGCAGCAAAGAAAGTGGAACTGAGTTTGGATGGCAGTATCACTCCAAAAATATTTTTTTTTCAATATATATGGATTACATCAATATTTATTTTAAAGCAAACAAATTTTTTGAAATCCAAATTTAGTTGCAAAGCTCTATATTTATTAAGACTGATATGGACTATTGCCATTTTAAATGCCAGATGGGTGGATCTGAACAATTTTAGTGCCTTTTTCTTACATAATGATTTATAGAACTTAAGGCAACATTGCACTGACTTAAAGTTTTCTATAAATGTTTTTATAATATACACATTAATTTTTCATATCTACTACGCAGAGAGGACTACAAATAGAAAAACATTTTATTCAAATGAACATTATTCTCTCTGCAAAGGTGTCTTCTGGCTTGCACAAATGGCAAAGCTGTGGAGACTCCAGAGGGATTAAACCAAGAGCCTTTGGTATATAGAGAAAAGCACTGAAGAGGCCCAAGGCAGGCAATGGTGAAAGTGTCTCCCTGGGGAAACAAAGGCATGAGTCCTTTCAGGCTGATAAGGAAATAATAATGATAAGCTTATCTGCAACACTCTACCTAACACTTGGAGCAGAGCCTTCCTTAGAGCTTTTAAAAATAAACCTGTATTAGCAAAAATCACAAGTGCTCTCCCACAGAAGACACCTGCATGCATATTCCACACAGTGGCAGGCAACTCTTCTGGCCTTATTTAAACTACCACAACTATTACAACTTTAAAGTTCTCAGCTTCCCAAGAACTTGGTATATGTGTTCCTAGAGCACACATTGAACAGCAAGAGAAGAAGCAGCAGTTTGAATTCCTGGCACTGTTTCTGTTCTGCTGATATGGTAAAGGTTTGGTCTGCTGTGGTCCTGCCATCCAGCAGAATTCAGTACCCCAAAGTCTTCCAGCCTCCTCCTGACAGCAGCAGGCTAGGTACTGAGCAGCTCTTCCTAATGAATAAGTATTTCCTTTCTATTTCAAAAAAAACTCTTATCTTTTAACCAGGAATTACTGGAAAAGTAATTGAATCTCCATCTGTTACAGGGTTGTACAGGTTTACAACATTTTTGTGTGCTTTCAAAAAATGTTTTCTAATCTGTTCTTGCAGTTTTAAAACTAGTATTTGATATATGGGCATATGTAAAACACAGCCAAAACGGACAGAGCAGCTTACATTTATGAGATTACATTTTAGAAATTTTTATGTGCTTTTATCATATTAGTCTGAAAGAAATCTTGTACATACTCAAGTAGTTTTATGCAACTGAACAGGCTAAAGTCCATTGTCATGCTTAAAGTTTGTTCATACTCAGAGCTGTCCTCGCAGTGAAATTAAAATTCAAAAAGATTTAGAGAAGTTCGAACAGCCCTCATATAAATCACACAAACCTCTCAAACTCTGTAACAAGCATTGCTCGTTCAGGAAGCTAAAGTGTTTATTTAAAGCTGCATGTACATACATGAAAAATTCAGACCATATTAAATATCCCATTTCATATCCTGCTTTGCTAATCAGTTATCAATCTTGGATGGATATAGCTGTTGATTTACTTGTTGAACTTTGCTTAAGACATTCCAAACTGAAGCTAATATCACAAGTAATAGAAAATATGAAAGACAAAAAAAGCAGACTTGACAAAATAAAAGTGCTCAGGACTTTGCATTTGCTTCTCAAAATTAGTCACACAGAAAGTGGTCTGATTCTCAAATCATGTTTTTCCTACACTTAGCCAAATCAACAATTTGCATTATTCCTAGTGTTCAGCATGTGAAGCAGAACACACAGATGTATGCCTGTCAGATTTTCCAGTGCAACACACAAATATTTTCCTTCCACAGAACTAGGTCCTTGACTCAGTGTCTTAGCAAGCAGACGTTATTCATTATAACACAACACAGATGTAATTCAGATTTCATTTACATTACTGTTGTTCAATGAGTCAAGCTGCACATTGAGATGAATAGAATTCCACATCCATAATATGTTTTATGGAAAAGAATGGAAAATTACTAAGGTTTTTTAAGGGTTACAGAGAAGGCTTTTGCAGCATGCCTAACCTAACTGCACCTCACTTATAGACCCTAATAATGCTGTTTTTATGTATTACTAACAGTACTGTGACATATTGATCATAATGTTGGAGATAAAAATGTGTTACCCTATGCAGCCTTTGCTATCATTGTGCAAGCAACAAGGTTGTTTCCTTTCCCTTGCCTCAAGACCATGGAATACTCTGGGTGGAAAGCTATTTTGGTTTTGCTTCTTTTGCCAAAGGCTTATAATAATGATGGATGAAATAAAAACAAGAGGAGAAGTAGTAGAAGTAGTAGTGAAACTACGAAGTATAAAAAGATAAATCAATCTTTGTTTGTTAGGTAAAATTCCTTATATCCAGCAGAAGACTGCAGGTACTAATGTTTGTATTACCCCTTGTAACTTCTACAGCATAACTATCCTATAGTGGGTTTAAGGTATTGCCAGCCATGGCTTTGAGTAAAACTGGAACTTCAGCGCTGTTAAAGTCAAAGTAAACCATCCTTTATCCTCTGCTATTATTTGGGTTTGATTCAATCTGCCTTTAATCAAGGTCTCCTTGAACTAAAAGACTTTGAGCAAAGTAGGAAAATCTGAATTAATTCGTGAGGATTTGTGCCTAACATGAAATCAGTATGTAACATAAAATAATTCACTTTCAGTGAAATTTCTAACATTTCTGTGCTTCCACTTGCAAGTATGTGGGTCAACATTCCTACAATGAAAGATATAAAAGGAATAGGGTTTGAAAATGACACTCCAAAACAGTTCTGAGAAGACAGACTACAGAACCTAACATCAACATTAAGATGTACACAACTGGGAGCAACGTGAGGCACAGCTGTTCCAGAGGTCACAGAAAGACTCATCACTTCTTTGAACATTAACTAAAGCTCCCTGAGCCTCAAGCTCAAGGTACTGCATATCATCTGTAAAACAGAAACCACCACAGATGGTTAAGACTGTCTGAAAGGCTTTGTGGTGTGAGAGACTACTTCCAGCATGGAATTTGGAGGCAGCTGTGCTGCATCTCCCAAAAGGAGCTGCTTGCTCTCCACCTCCTGCCTCTACTGAAGGTGACAGATCTGACTCTAAGCTGCCCCAAAGTGTATTCCCACCCTCCAGCACATCAGGGATCCCACAGTGCACAGAGCTCCCTGTGAGATAGGTACAGTACCATGGGAAACTTCCCTGTGACTTAAGACAAATTGTAATTTTCATTCTATTTCATGCAATACAAATTCATGGAATTTCAGAAGGGGATGGAGGCCCAGAACAGTTCCATAAACACCACAGCACTAAATTTTACTGGTCTGAAGCCCAAAATATGGATTTTTTTTTTTCTGTGTGAGGACCAGGCAGTGTTAAGGGTTCTCCAGTACACCAGGCATCTCAGACTCAGTACTATCTTGTAGCTGCTATACTCAGGCCATAGGAATTGCAACCCTGAGGTCAAGCATTTACACCTAAGTATCAAAGTTACTTCATTTAAACCAAGGGGAATGATTTTTGGTCTCCTTGATTGATATGCCAAGAACAATAGCTGAAAGCTAAAAAATTTGAGCGGTTCAAAATTGTTCTGAAGAGTGAAAACCTGCCACAGGTTATCACCTTCAGCTACCAACAAATGTGAGCAATGTGTACAATGCACCAGATGTTCCCCTTCAGGTGCTCCAGGTGGGGGAAAGACAGGATTTAACCACATGTTCTTTACACTTGGAGGCTGAAGATGTTGTGAATCATCTCAAGCATAGCATGTACCACAGCTGGGAAGGATCAGCATTATTCCCAGGAGGGATTTGGGTCATCCTATCAGCAAGGATGTGGAAAGTGAATAAGGAAATGGTAATCTCACACTATCTAGGAGAGATAGTAACTCAGATGTGGGGAAGCACCTGAGTTACAGATCCATATTTCATCCTAACTATAGGCCAGTGAACAACATATGAGACTTCCTACTGAAGCTCATAAATGTAAGTGGATGGATAAAATAACCAAACCCACAACTAAAATTCCCCAAGATTCACAATAAAATAGACAATTAGTGAATTTATTACTACTACTAAAAGAAATCTTTAGAGAGATCTTATACCACTTTTCACTTAGAGGCACTCTATCCTACCTTCTCTATTTTAGCAGTGTTAATATTAAAAGTTCTGGCTACTTAAGCAGAGGTAATAATCCATAAGATGCTAAAACTGTCATAAGTAAGCAAAAGAAAATTAACTCTTCAAGACATCGGATTTTTTACATTAAATTTCCATATTTGAAAAATGCTCAACACCACGACTGTCAACACATGTCCAAGCTGCAGACAGCATAATCCGTGAAATTTGGTCACATATAGCTAGCTTAATGTATGAAAAACAAATCCTGCCCACCAAAACCCTACGCTAA